TACATAATTTATATTCTATATAAACAATGCTATATGAAACCTATATATGTAGAAAGACTAGATGGAGAAAATGAGGCAAAGATCAAAAAATTAAAAAAGAAATAGAAGACCTATAAAGGAAGAAATATGGTCAAAGTGGTTGTATCACACACAAAAATGTAGAAAACACATACTGGTTTGTATTACTTGCAATCTGGGAATTAAGAAGACAGGAAATTTAACTTTCTTAATTCCTAAAAGGAAATAAAATACTCAGATTAACCATAAATCACTGTATCTTTTTTTTTTGTCTTTTTTAATATTAAAAACTTTTCTCTGGAGCCCTGATTAATTATAAAATACCTTTCTTTTTCAATAAGTTTTATAAAATCTCCTCTGGTTTTTCCTTATGTGAATATATTAGAACATTTAGTTATTTCCACGACTTTCTGGCTTTTTTATTATTCTCTTTATCATGTTTCTGAATAGTAAATTTCCTTTTGTCTTTGTATTATTTCTCTACGGGACAGAGAATTGTAGGAAAAGGACAATAAAAATTGAAATCCACACCTTTATCTTATTTCACCTATTTTTTGAAACTAGACTATATGAAAATATGATAAAATAAATCTTTGAGAGCACGGACTCAACTATTGGAACAAACCTCAGGGCCTGAAAGAGTCTAAAGGCAAAAGGTAATCACAACAAAGAACAAAGAGCAATACTCAACACCAACAGCAATATGGAACAAAATAGTTTAGCAGTTAAACTGTGTATGAAAACAAATTTATTACTGCCTAAACCATAGCAGTTATCACCAGTTTTGTCAAAGGACACAACCTCCACATAAAAGTTCTTTTATGCATGGTTTGCAATTGTTTATGGATCTACATTCTGGTTGCATGCTTGTAGTTCAGACAAATTTATCATCTTGGAATGTATTTTCCCACACAACTTTTTGTGTTTTCCATTTGGTAGGTGCATCTAAGTTACTTTAAGAAATCAGAGTCTAAAACTTGAATATGGGGAAACGAGGGCTTCAAAATGAGTGTCTTCAAAACAGTCCTGCGTTGTCCATAAAGTGTAAGCTTTTCCCCTATCAGATATCAATAGAAATATAATTTGAAGATAGAGCAGAACACCATTGACATAGCCACCCAAAGGTACTCACCATAAAATAAAATAAGTAAAATGGCAAAAAGATACTCTTCAATATTTTTACCTACCATTAACATTGTAATTTAAGTGGTCAAAACAACCCGAGTTCTTCCAGGAAATGGAAACAATGGCTGTGCAGAACCACACAAAATTTTTGCCACCAGTTTTTAGCGCTCCTCTGTCTCAGGGCATAAAATCACTTGCACTTTACGTGCATCATTGTCATTGTTTCCATAATTTCCAACTGTAACATTTTCCCTTTACAACCAAAAAAAAAAAAAAAAAAACCCCACCACAATGTACCTGGGGAGTACTAAAAACAGAAGAAAAAAAAAAAAACAGAGATCATAAGAGAGTTGAGGACTGCCAATTTGAAAATTGTCATGCCGAGTCAACATTTCCCCCTTTTTGGTCCTGGAAATCATTCCAAAACATAGAGAATGAAAAACAATTATGCAAATACCCTATTTATTAAAAATGGGAAACAGTGAAATCCTAGACCTCCAGATTAATGGAATGGTTCCCAAATCAGTGGTGACTGAGCGAAAGGGTGTGCAGGAGGAAATAAGGAAAAGAAACCTTGAAGAAATAATCCAGAAGCTGCAGGTTTCAAAAAGAGCTAACGAACACAACCTTCCTTAAGGCCACAGGAGCCATGCCTCTTTATATTGTAGACATCATGCAGCAGTGTCAGGTGGAAGCATCTGTGGAAGCAGTACGATGCCAAAAAAGCAGAGAAAGTGAGGCTAAATGAGGAATTGTACAGAAAAGACAGATTCATAAAAGCAGTCTGTGTCTGTGGAAACAGAGAAGTGAAGTCTTTCATCGTATGTGGGAGAAACAGAACAAAACAAACAACAAGACCACACTGCCTGTCTCCTTTGGCTAGACCAAGTAAAACTCACTCAGTTCGGTGATGCAGAAGTGAAAGTGGACCCCACTGGATCTATATAAAGATACCACAAGAACAAGAGAGAGGGGTCGGGAGTGGGGGAGTGCGGGTGGGTGGGGCAGAAAACCAGTGGCACACAGGGAAGCACACACTAAAAATATGTCACCATAAAAGAAGCTAAAAATTGTGGCCAAATACCTTGCCATGGATTTTTTTTTAATGCACAGCAATGCATAGTAATGCATAGCAAGCACCTTTTTCAAGCAATTATATCAGGCAAAAATGCAAGGTGGCAAGGTGAGGTTAGCAGTACAAGAACAAGGGATGAATTATAAGCCTCCAGTCCTCAACCAAATGGCATAATGGAAACAAGTAAAAGCACCATAAAAATGAAGGAGAAATTGGAGGAATACAGGGGAAGAGAGAGTCCTGAAAGCATAAGAAGGTAGCAAAGACTGAAGTGGGAGACACAAACTAAGTAAATATATATTAATAATAAATGAAAAAGAATTAGAGAAAAATTGTAGAGTGCAACACAGATAACGTAAACCCAACATACATATAAAAAGAATCCCCCCCAAAGAAAATAATAATAAAATAGTGCAAATAATATAATAATAGTGCAAAGATTTAAAGATGTAAGTCAAGAGGGGCGCCTGGATGGCTCAGTCGGTTGGGTGTCTGACTTCGGCTCAGGTCATGACCTCATGGTTCGTGGGTTTGAACCCTGCGTCTGGCTCTGTGCTGACAGCTCAGAGCCTGCAGCCTGCTTCAGATTCTGTCTCCGGCACTCTCTGCCCCTCTCCCGCTTGGGCTCAGTCTCTCTGTCTCTAAAATAAATAAACATTAAAAAAATTTTTTTAAAAAGGCATAAGTCAAGACCACTTGAATCTCCATCTTGGGTGAAAGACCAAAACAAAACAAAACAAAACAAAACAAAACAAAACAAAAAACAAAAATAACCATGTCCCTGGGTAAAATAGTTCTGAACAGTCAAAGTTAACGCTAGGATAAAATTTAGTGAATTTAGGTTTCTTCAGATATAAATTAATAATTACTTATTCAGTCAGGTAAATAAGAATTCTCTAAACTCTACAATGCTAAAAAAAAAAAAAAAAAAGATGAGTGACATGGTCCTCAGCCAAACAACACTCCAAGAAACAAACATGCAAGAATTCTGAACATGCAAGAATTCTGAACATGCAAGATTGCAGAAACGTTGCTCCAAGGGCCCTTCCTCAGGAATCTCTGAGGGGTGACTTTCACACAACAAGATGATTTAAAAAATAATAACAAACGAGCCAGCAATGTAAGCTCCTGTTGAAAACAAATCTTCCCCCATGGACAGTGGAACCATCAGATGACTGTAGCTCCGGGTGGCTGGACTGCAACCTTACAGGATAACCCGATCCACAACCTCCCCACTAAGCAGCATCTAGATTCCGTAACTGTAGAAACTGTGACACAATCATCATTTGCTGTTTTAGGTTGCTGAATCTTAGGGTAATTTATTACGCAACAATAGCTAACCATAAAACAAGGCTTAGAAACTACTGATTTGAAGAGGATGGAATGTAGAAAATAGGAAGAGGATTTTTTTTTCTTAATGTTTATTTTGAGAGTGAGAGAGAGAGAGAGAGACAGCATAAGCAGGGGAGGAGCAGAGAGAGCAGGAGAGGTAGAAAAGGCCAGTGAGGGGACATCAGTGATTTCATCAAAAGTGACACTGAGGGAGCCATAGATATCGACAGCAAGAAACCACAGCGGGCAGACCACCACAAGTAGGAGTGTGAAGAGAGGACACATTGGTCTTAGTAAGGAGCAGCAGGTGATGTGTCCCAGTGAATGAGGGGAACTCCAAACAACCCGGAAATGTGCCCCAAGAAGGAGAGGCAACACTTAATATTTGATATGATCAATAGAAAATAAGAACCCCACCTCTTCCCTGTGCAAGAGGGAACCAGTGCTACAACACTGGGGACAAAAGGCGAAACACACCTTGAGAAAACCAGGAATGCAGCTGACCCAGCACCGCATCCAGCTCTCACCCAGGCTGGGACAGAAGAGACAGGGGGGAGGGACAAACTTTAACATTAGACAGCTTCACAGTTTTGACTATTACATGGAATAGTAATTAATTATGTAATTAATGTAATTAATTAATGGAGGGGAACCTTGTGTTCTGCTTTTTAACATGTGGCTATGTGATGAAAACTAAATTTTTAATTTAAAACTAATAAAAGAAATAGTATTTCATACCCTAGTAATAGATATCATACAGTTATCAGCACAACAGGAGATCTATAATTCTAAAGTAGACCTTCAAGGCCTGGATGGCTACTTACTGGTAACAGTACTAGGGTAGATATTAACTCAAGCCTCAGCAGTTAAATAAGAAACCAGCTTCTAGAACCAAACTGACATATAGTATAGCATACCATATTTATTCTACCAAGTATGATCGCATACAGGCTACCCTAAGGAATATATTTATAAACCATTTTAGAACAACTGATAAGACTTGATTGGAATATAGCTAAAAAAAAAAAAAAAAAAAAAAAAAAGGTGGGAAGAGACGCCTGGGTGGCTCAGTTGGTGAAGCGTCCGACTTCAGATCAGGTCATGATCTTCCAGTTCATGGGTTCGAGCCCCGCGTCAGGCTCGGTGCTGACAGCTCAGAGCCTGGAGCCTGCTTTGGATTCTGTTTCTCCCTCTCTCTCTCTGCCCCTCTCCGCTCACACTCTGTCTCTCTCTGTCTCTCAAAAAATAAAATGTGAAAAAAATATGGAATGTCGCTAAAAATTAAGAACCTTCATGCATTTGAGGAAAGTGTAACAGACATACAACATAAATAAAGTTAACGTTCATTTTTCTTTTTCTTTTGTATCCTAATATCGGATTTCCATTGGTTCAAAAAAAAACCCTTTAAATTTCTTAATTATAAAAAAATATAAAGATTTGGCGACACTACCTCTGAATATGATACTCTCGATTACAGCGATGTAATCTTCGGGCTCCTGCTCGGTAGACATTTCCCATCTGCCTCTGACGATATTTAATAATTTGTAGAGCTGATCTGAACTCTTCACCCCACACAACAGAGTAACCACACTTTCTGGTGAATGAAGTATCTTTTCAAGAAACTGACATTTCTTTGGAGTTAGGTCTTTAAGGAGGCTATTTGATAAGATCAAAAGTTTACATTTGTAAGAGTTTAAACTCAGCAATTCCAAATCCCAAAAAGAGTAATTCTCCAAGCAATATAACAGGACCGCTTCCCTTTTCACAACATGCAAAAACACTTCCCTCAAGTACAGAGCCCATTCCTCAGCATCTTCTCCATGTATCAGTAGGATGTCTTTTGTATTTTCTGGAAAAAGAGAAAATAATGTATTAATTTTCTTATGTTTGAAATGCTAACAGCAGATTATATTATTAACCTCAAATTTTTGTACGTGCTCTTTAGGGAACATATTACAGGACCAATAATATAATTCCTGTTATCCCCATCATAATCATACAGGATTAAATTAATCCTTTATGTAAACACAGTTCATGCTTTGTGCAAGTCTTCGCTGTACTCATTGTCCCAAAGTGAACCAGGATGCTCAACTGAAATAAAAGAGAAATCTCATGGAGGGATGAAAATAATGTTCTGTAGGATTACAGGGAGCTGGGCTACGAGACACGGCTGTGCCAGTAACCACAAAATTTACCTAGATCACAGTATTTAACTCCTTCGAACTACTGTTTCTTCGTCTCCTAAATGAAGGCAAAAAATAAATAAGCCACAAAAACAATCAGATTGTTCTGTGAAGATATGAGGGAATTTACACTCAGGGTTTAAATCTTTTTTTCAGGCAGAGATGAGTGCATAAAGATAAGTGACAGAATTTCCATGCCCAGAATACCAACAAAATAAAAATTTTAAAAAAGAAATAAATTCAATAGCAGAAACCAAATAAGAGGGTACCATATCGCGTGTCATTAAGTTAAATTTCATGCTGGTGAAATAATTAGAAGGTTCTGACGGGACAGCAGTAATCCTAAACCTCTCCCTGATCCTATAATCAATACTGATAAAGAAACTTGAGTCATCACCAAAACCAGCAGGGTGCTTATGAATCTCTTCCCCATCTGGAAACAATTCAAGAGGGTGTCTGCAGAGATAGGAAAGGCCGCTCTACAAGGGCCCTCTACCCGTGGGTAGCAGGGCCCACGGGTGAGTCAGAAAAGCCAGTCAAATCCCACAAGAACCCAAGTACATCCTTGGGCAGAAGAGACGGGCCTTGCAGACACCATTCAACAGGTCTCATTGGAGACTATAACCCAGAACCTCTAGTGAAGGACACTTTGCTTCTCCTCTGCTTTTCTTTCAGGCCATAAAATACTGGAATGTCAATTTTATCACCCCAACTGTAGCTTGGAAGGAAAAATAAAAGTAGCAAAAAAGATAGGGAGGGGAATTTCAAGAACAATTTGCCCACACAATATTAAGCAAACAGTAAGCCTAAACAGAGCTAAGGGAAACACAAGCAAGACGAAAAGATGAGCAATACAAATTTTCAGTTATGGGAAGAGATTATGGCAAATAATATTAACAGTGAAAATATGATCATAAAAATAATAAAAGTAACACAGCCTGCAAAGACTAGTAGATATCATAAACAGGGGGAAAAGCCTTCATAAAAGTTATCTATAGTATAAAAAGACCATAGATTAAATAAGACCATAGTTCAAAGACAAGTTGATTTAACTTTTAAAAAAAAAAGTATCATTTAAAAGTGTATACGAGATAAAGAGACAAGTTGAGAGCCAAAACAGTACTTCTGTTCAGATAATATATAAATTAGAAAAACCATTAACCATAGATAATATTTTAATTTCCAAACTAAAAGAAAAGCTTGATATGTTTGCAGTAAATGCAAAAAAGAGAACAAGGCTAAAACAGCTGGTGAAAATATGATATATCTGGGTAAGAGACAAAAAAGGAAAAGTTTCAATATCAATATAAAGACAATCTAAAAGCTAAAGTAAAAGAGAACAAAAGACACATTAAAAAATGTTAAAACATAATTTAAAAAATCCCTAAAATATAAAGAAAAAGGAACCAGTTCCATGTATCAGCAGGGAATAATCATGTTCTAAGAAAAATTGTTAAGAAAAAAACCTATCTTGATTAAACTGCCCTTAGGTTTAATGATTATTATAAAATGTCTTCACGTATTCAGGAAGGAAGACCAAGTTACCCAGGAGGAGGAAAATATTAAAATGATCATAGATTTCATCAGAGCAATTTCAAGCCAAGAATCATAAGAAAATTCTTGCAAAAATAATTTTTTAGTAATTCATACTACAGAATATGATATTGTACACCGATGAAAATGAACAATGCTACATGCAACATGGATGTATCCAAAGACTTAATATGGAGTGAGAGAAGAAAAAGAGTTTATACTATATGATTGCATTTATATGAAGTTCAAAGACAGAAAAACAAAAAGATCCATGATGATACAGATAGAATATCTGGACATAGGATAAACGAATGAAAACAGGCATGGGGGGGGGCTGCCAGGATTCTGAAAATGTTCTTGTCTTGGTCTGAATGGTTGTCACACAAAGTGTACATATATAAAAACTTATTCATCCATGTACCTTAGATTATGTATGTAAGTTATTCTGCCATAAAAAAAAGGTCAAGTATCAAAAGAAGAAATTTCCATGATGACAGCTGTTCAAGAGGCCTACAGACCAGTTAGGACTTATCACAGGTGAATGGAGCATTTTGGGAGGGAGATCCAGAGGAAATAAAGCAACTGTAAGATTATCTCATATATTTGAAAATTTGAGGAGAAAATACTAAGAATAGGGGTTTGACAGTTCTGATAGAACTTTTCGACAAACAATTCAGGATTGATATATTACAATCTTTTGCACGTAAAATACAAAATTAGGTAAAATTAGTTGCAGCAAAATGAAACAAACAAAATGCCTAAAAATTATAAAAGAAAGTAGAATTATTATACACTATTTGGATATAGTGTAAATGTGTATATAATCATTGTCATGGACAAAGTATCTATGTCCTCCCCCAAATTCATATGTTGAAATTTTAACCCCCAATGTGGTGGTATTTGGAGGTGATGCCTTAGGGGGTGACTAGGTCATGAGGGTGGAGCCCTCATGAATGGGATTAGTGCCCCTGTAAAAGAGGCTCCAGAGATCCCTCACCCCTCCTGCTGCATGGGGACACAGAGAGAAGTCAGCAATCTGCAACCTGGAAGAGGGCTATCACCAGAATTCTATCTGCTGACACCCTGATCTCAGATTTGCAGCCTCCGGAACTGTGAGACATAACATGTTTGTTGCTTAGGCCACCCTGTCTATGGTATCCTACTAGAGCAGCCTAAATGGACTGACAATCATAATAATGTGAAAAATGACTGATGATTTAACTAGAAATTGAGATTTAAATATCAGATAGACTTAAGATTAAAATCCTTGCGCTGCCTGGCTGGCTCAGTCAGTTAGGGGTCTGACTCTTGATCTTGGCTCAGGTCATGACCTCACAGTTCATGGGTTCAAGCCCCACATCAGGCTCTGCACTGACAGTACAGAGCCTGCTTGGCATTCTCTCTCTCTTCCTCTCTCTCTGCCCCTCCCCTGGTTGGGGATGGCTCTCTCTCTATCTCTCAAAAATAAAATAAACATTAAAAAAAAAAAGATTGGGGGCACTTGGGTGACTTACTTGGTTAAGCATCCAACTTCAGCTCAGGTCATGATCTCACTGTTCATGAATTCGAGCCCGGTGTTAGACTCTGTGCTGACAGCTCAGAGCCTGGAACCTGCTCAGATTCTGTGTCTCCCTCTCTCTGTCCCTCCCCCACTCGTGCTCTGTCTGTCTGTCTGTCTCTCTCTCTCTCTCTCAAAAATAAATTTAAAAAAACATAAAAACAATTATTAAAAAATATTAAAATCCTTATCTAGCACACAACAGGAAACAAATAGATACTAGTTAGAATTGGTAAATCAAGAAGTAGTATATAGATGTATCTTTTAGAAAGATAGACTGCAATAACAAAAAAGGAAGATGTGAAAGATCTGTGGTTCCTGAGGTTCTGTGGGGAATGGAATTTTGATTGGGGAGGGAGAGAGCAGCCGACCACGGGTTTACATTACAAATGTTTTATCATCGTTCAATATGCAAGTGAAACCAAAATCAGAATTTAAATAACAGAAAAATCCAGGCAACAAATAGAAGAACCAAAGTGAACAAAATGGAAATGTAAAAGTTTAAAAAAAGAGGATATGGTAAGTTGAATACAAGTGCATACAGAACAAAATCAAAATACCAAGGGGACTGTGACTGCACTACAAAATGCATGTGTTAAATATCTTGAAATAAAAGTTATCATGGAATGGGAAAGCTGAGCATTTGGGGAAAAGATAGTACAAAATATTAACTTCATCTTTCATAGTATTTAGTTATTTAATACCTCTTAAATTCAAAATATGAAGCTAAAAAATGATTCCATACACTATTTTTGTATCACCATTTTCCCTAAACAATAATGAATAATTTAGAGAGTATTCCAAGTAAAGATTTTTCTCTGAAAATTAATATGTCCTTCAATTTTACATTAATTTATTTTATTTAAAAATAGCATATAGAATATGATCTCATTTTTAAACAATGACCCCCTGAGCATCTACTTAAAATAATTCTATAAATTGTTAGCAAGTTATTCATGGAAGATAATATCATGGGAGATATATTGCTTTCTTTTTTAAAATCTCTTCCATATTACTTATATTTTTGTAGTAAACTTGTATTATTTCATAAAACAAAATAATCATCCTTAAAAGCCAGTTGTAAGTCATTATCATCAAAACAAAGAGTAAAACACCAAAACTCGTAATCCACAATTATCTTTTTTCCTCAGGATATAAAGGTTGTATTTTCTACAACACTGATGTGCTGATTAATACTACAACAATTTGAGAGCTACTGTATTTTTATTGAATTATCTATGACTTATCTCATGATATAAATATTCTCTCCAAAGACAGATGCTTTCTCTTTCAACTCTGTGAATTCTAAACAATGCCTAGCACAATTTCTTGAATAGATAATCAATAGATTTTTAAATATATTCATGTATACAGAATGAAAAAAGACATCTGGTAGAAAACATATGGGAATCATACCCAAGTTGTATATGAGTCATCAGTATAGTTTGGTCATTCTCTGTATAGTGTCTCACCCCGCCTGGATGTTAAATACTTGCTGGACAAACACAAACATGGTGTCATAATTCAGTATTTTTATGTTTGAGGAACAGTAGAGAAAGAGTTTTCTATTATATA